ATATATAAATACCGTATGGGCAGAGGTCTGTACATTCAGAACTGTGCCTCATTAGTAAAAATAGCATAATACACATTATTTTCTTTTTTTTTCTTCAATATTTTTCTATTATAATATTTCTTTATTTACTGTATTTCTTATTTATACTGGATTATCTGTTCAGTATCAAAATACATACTATTCTTCCACAAGCAAATTTATGTTTTATAAACTAATAATAAAAATAACATATACTGTAGTGCACATGTCCATCTCAGAAAGAATTGCTCAAGGTGGTTTACCCTGGTCGTTGGATACAGAGTCGGGGGCGTATCTAGAAGTCTTAAAATGTTGAAATGGATCTGGGAGATTCAATGATTAGGTGAACAGATGCTAGCTCGTGAAATAAAGTGATTTCAGGTGATTTTTAACTACTTGAGCATGATTTTTGCAGGGACGCCACTGTACAGAAGAGGGGGATTTAGTGGGGGGAGCTGAGCTGCCCCTGTCCCACCCTTTGAAAAGTAAAAGAAAAACAGAAAAAAAAAAAAAGAAAAAGAAATAATTGATCACCTACAACAACAACACCTCAGAAGTTATTTTCGAGCGTCTAGAAAACATAAATTTCGTGGGCACATTCCCCCAGACCCCTAGGGTAGTGTTATCTCAATCAGCCCCACATTCGGCCCCCGATTTTGGACATCTCTGGATCCACCCCTGCAGAATCCATCTTGCACAATGTGCCACTTCCTCCATTTCCTGGTATATATTCTGAGTTATGCATGTAATCAGCACTACTATTTTCATTCCAAAGAATTCCCCTCCTATCAGTTACACATTTATACTCCTGGGTGAAGATGAATGATCAGCGTTGATCTCAATGTCATGACCTCTTGGTGACACATGGCTAAGTCCTATAATGTGGTTTAAAAATATCACTACATGGCATTTCTTATCATATCATCTCCACTATCACCCAGCCTATCAACACTGCCTTTCACACTACACCTACTGTACATGGAATACCATTCAAACCACACCCATACCCATCCTGGCCTTGAAAGCACACCGCCCCTCTCTTGCCACTTTGACCATAGGCCACCCACTCTGCCTTTCAAACTTCACCCTACCCTCCCTGCTTATAAAAAGACATACCACCCTTAATTTTTTAAACTAAAACCCCACCCTCCCTGTCACTTCATAAAAATCCCTATTTAAGCCATATCCCACCATAGTAAAAATTTACACCTATCAACTGTCATCGGTGAAGCACATCATTTGAAATTGCATTTCACTTTTGTAGCGGTTCAGAAGTTCACTTAAGTAACTGCAAAAGAAAAAAAAAAGATAAAAATAAAATAACATTTTATCAAATGCAATGACAGACAGTAAAAAGAACCCCTTGTATTTTGTGATTTTACAATACACACTGCTAACAACTTATATATACTATTCATTATCATGGTAGATTCTACTTACATTTTATCTTTCTCATTTCGCAGATCTGGAATAACACTGATTGCTTCAGTAAATGAACCACTATATAAGAATTAAAGAGAAGTTAAAACACTACTTGTATAGGACTTATGTGGAAGCAGTTTGGCGTATTGGGAATGGGTTTGGTTTCCCAACCTCAAGGTTGGGGTTCAATCCTTTGCTGTGCATTTTGCTTGTGTCCTTGAGAAAAGGAACTTTATTTACATTGCTTCAGCCTACCCAGCTGTACCAATGGGTACTAGAAAATTTCTGAAAGAACACTCTCATCTGCTTCACACTACAGAAACTTGGGATAAGCTCCAGCCCTATCAGCTCTAGTAGCTCAGCAAGGATTTATGTAGGACTTATACAATCACAAGGAGCTTTAATAATTCACACTATCATAAACCTGTCTCTTATACACATCTAGATGTGGGGTTATGCATCCTATGATATTGACTGTTGGTTGTTTCAGACCATGTGGGTCACTTTACAAAAAATAATATTAGCCTAAAAAACTTGCATGTTTGTTAAGTACCAAAGCTAATGTATTGGGTAGCAGTTAGCAGAAACCAAGATTATGGTATGGTTCTAGTACCTGGAACCAAAACTAAAATAACAGGTATCAACTCACCTGGTGGCAGCATTCCTGTAGGGCGACAAAGAGTTGTGCAGAGCAGAGAGTTCAAGCCTAGCTTGCAGAGCACCATTCTGACTGAACTTAGGAATACAGCTCATTAGACGTGACAACTCCTCCGCTAATGCTGTGAACACTTCCGTCATAACACGCATGAGGAATGCAGGCGCAATTGCATGAATCTCCGCATGGATTGCAATAGACTTCATCACAGCTTCTTTAACATAGTTTCGCACTCCTGATTAATTATAAGGAAAACATATTTTTTAATGTTTTAATTTTGAATAAGAAAATCTGAATGTGTTGTTAGTGGGAGTATTTTTAGTCTTGAGAAAACACTACAATCTCATAAAACATAACTTGCAGAAAACATGATATAAAGCTTGTGCTTTTACCTGTAGGTCTAGGGCAGTCATTCCAGTCCATATTGCCAGCATACATGCCCTGCTCCAGAGCCCCTATCAAAGGTTCAATCTTTTGCTCACAGTAAGCTTCAAAGATCTTTTCATCAAGTTCAGCATAGGATTCTAGGGCATTCTAAATGAGATCGAATACAAAGTTGTTGACAAACAATTTATGCTGAAGTACAGGGGTGGATCCAGGCTTTTTGAAACAAGGGGACAGCAATTTCATACATAATTATGCAGATATGTATCCAATAACCCAATAATGGTATGATTCGTATCCAGTCTATTGTGTTACTAAATATTGTAACATTTAGTTTTTGTATGCCATTTTGTATTTTTTGTGTTAAAAAATAAAACTGCAGTGGCAAAACAACCGGGGATTGTGCCCCTGTGCCCCCTTCCTAAATCCGCCCATGAAGTATACTTAACAGTAAAGATTAAAAGGGACAAAAAGATTACAGATCGAATAAGTTAAACAGATAAAAAATATAAATGAAATAAATACAGTGCTAACAGTGAGACAGCAAATCGCAAGTATTCCGATTGTTGTGATACAGTAGTAACAACATTGAAAGTATTTCTTAAGATGGTCTTGAAAAACTTACATTTTCTACTTCTTGTGATTTTGGGTATCCATGCTTATCAAATTGCTCCTTAAGTTGATGAATAATGTTTTGAGACACATAGCTACAGTTGCTAAGCATGATAACTAAGCACTGTTCCTGTAAGGGGAAGAATCAGTGGATTTGTTACAATTAAATCCTATTAGTAATATGGTCAACATTGGTTCTTAGTAAGGTTTATCATCTTCAGAATTCTGGTAGAGACAAAACTTTATTAAATCACACTATCATAAGCTTGCTCTTGTGCCAAACATTACAGGATCTCATTGCAACCTTTAAGGATGTTATAGCTACCCTGTCTAACCCTCTGCAACATATATGCATAGTCATTCATCACCGGAAGGCAATCATCTTAATCATCTTAATCATTAAGCTACAAGTCCGATCCAAGACACAGTCTTGCAACCAAGTCATCTAAAGTAAAAATTTTAAAGTAAAGGCTTGTTTCTTTAAAACACTGTTGCTACCATGTTTTCAGTTCCCAACGCAATCGGGAAGGCTCGACGATTCGACCGACCAATCAGCATCGCCGAAAGCTGTTAACAATAGCGACGTGTAGCGATTGTATGGAAATAAGGTTTCAAGTAGCAATGTAACACTTACAACTGAGGGTTGTGTATCCTCCGTGAAGAAGACACTCTGGGAGTAATTATTAGAATCACTGTGGAAGTAAAAAAACAAACAAATACAATAAACACACAGTCCTGTCAAATAACTCATGTACATGCTTATTACATCTATTGTTTAATAGCAACTATGGGTGTAAGCTGGGGGTGTGATTAGTTCCACTTAGTGGGTTAATTTACTAAGAATGGCCATAAAGTTCGCATAGGAATAGGGATTTAGTTATAGATTCTGGGATTTAGTTCCACATTTTCATTTTTCACACACCCTCTCCCACCTCTCAGCCCGAAAAAGGCCTACGCCCCAGGCAACACTAAAGTAGGTATCAGCAGTGACAACGATGATGATGACTTTGGTGACAAAACATTATTTTTATTGTTTTAGGAATAGTCATAATACAATGTACTGTACTATGACTCAATACAGAGCTCAATCAATGACTTGATACAAGGCTATTTGTAGCTCCACTCGGATTTCTTTAAATGAAGTGTCTGAATACATATATTCTTTTTTTGTTTTATAAGGTTGCAGTATAGATAAGGGTCATAAGAAGACTACCTTTTGACTCTACTATCATCTCCATTGTCTCCTTCAAAGGCTAGCTTATCTAAAGTAGTTGAAAAGGCCTATAAATATGAGGTAACAAAATTGAGACTACATTAATGCACAGTTTCAACAATTATTTAAATACACTTTCTTAGTATTCGAACTCCATTGTTAATTATTAATATTTGAAATTTTATTGGAAATATAATAATTTTAATAGAAGGTTAACACTTTAAAGTGACCGGTGGCAGGGGTGGGCATAAAAATCGGTTGGAGGGCCAAAGTGAATTTTTTATTTAACACAGATCAGGGCCGCACCCAAACTTTGATGTTTTCAGTGCGCTTCCAAACACCTTCATGCACTGCTTTTATACCACTTTATTCTCAGTTTTAACATTACTTTTTACAGATGATCAGGGTTGGGCTGTAAAAAACAAGGTGTTTTCTAGTCAAAAATATTGACACATTGGGTTTTTAATTTATTTTCACAGGCAGCAAACAAATCATTGTTGGGCCGCACTTTAGGGCAAAGGAGAATGGCAATCAATCAAATGAAGAGAAACAGTGTATTGCATGTTGGTTATGTGGATATATTAACCTATACATTAAATGAAGCTAAAAATAACGTTGAATGGAATTTAAAAGAATAATAAATTATAAATAAATTTTCATAGCTATAAAAATAAGTTGAAAATAAACAGTTCTTACATTCAGTGACTGAACACAAAGTGCCACTGCTTTTTGCTGTACGTCATAGTCCATGAAAATCTAAATAAATAAAAAATGCATAGTTGGTCAGTGTAATACGTGAGCTCTGCAGGTAAACCTTGGTGTTCCTAATTCAAAAATTCAAGTGTTTCATATGCCCTAATGGGTAAACATTGGTGTTTCAATTTTAACCATTTCAGCTTAGTACACATTCGAGTGGCTCGGCTTGGGGTTTCCAATTCCATCATCAATTTATAGTGCATACCCTAAGCCTTGCCATTCCCAACTCAATCATGGTACATGTCTGTACAGGTAAGCTTTAGGGTTTGAATTTAAGTTATGTTACATGGCCTAGCAATTTTGGGGTTTCAATTAAACATTGAATTCAATAGGACAACATTTATCACAGTGTTACACAATCAGATTATAATACCATCATAAATTAAGTCACTTAATTTTGTTTGATAGTGTATACTTGTTTCTCACATATCTGAATACACAAATCACGTTTCTTTCCAGGATCTGATGGATGTGGGACAAATGCTCTACTTCACCGATCAGACATTGTCTGACAGACAAACAAAATGTAGTGTAAGTTTGCAACCAAATCAATGGATTTATTTCCTAAACAATGGGAGGAAAGCTTACATCAGTTTCTCCTTTCCAAGCACAGTTCACAACCTCATGAAGGTGTTGTAACGTTTCCATGATAACACTTTCAAACAATAAAGGCTAAAAATAGAAATAGACATTTGAATATATTAATTAACGATACAACAGTAGACAACATTCCAGATTTAGGACAAACAGTAACTTCTTTTAACATTGCTTTCCTCTCAAATTCACTGGTATTGAGTACAACAACCATTTTTAGGAGTCTTGAAATGGGGAGGGGGGCCGCCAGTGTGATGGGGAACTAGCTTGCAAAATAATGTGATTTGAGGCGATTTTTAACTACTTGACCATGATTTTTGGGGGCGACTGCGGAGGGGGTCGTATTTCCCCTAAATACGCCACTGACAATAATATAATAATAAATAAGATATGTATAGTGCTCATATCCATTTCCAAGAAATGCTCAAGGCACTACAAGTATGTTTCACATAAAAATTGTCACATTTGCTTTACCAAACTTGTAATTCCGCCACTGTCATCAACCTGAAGCTGCCAGGTTTCTCTTGAACTCAAAGCATGAACCTCTGCCAAAAATAAAAAAAAAAAACCTTGTAATATCCAGAATCTATGTTCAAACACTTTAAGTTATCAGTTAAAGGTCTTCAGCTTTGCATTGCTGCTCCAGTAGAGAAGAACTCAGTAGGTGCGCCATTGCCTGTGGTTCAGAGACTATTTCAGCCTTATGGACTGGTTGGCCTTAAAAGGATAGGTAAGGTAAAAAAATATATATAAAGTAGTAGAGTAAAAGGAACCATATAAGTAATGAAACTCACCATCAGCTGCCTCTTCAAACAGCTTCACCATACAGTGGACTCGCAGGTCAGTGATGAGGTCATTCAGATTCTCCAGTGCAGCAGACGGCACATCAAGGGACGACAGAGTTGTCACAATTGACCTTAGTATTTACAAATATAATTAGTAAGAACAATAATTCAATTAATTTATTTTCCACATTACTAAATGAAATTAGAGAGATAAACATATTTGCATCCAAGTGGCCAAAGCCACAACCATTACACATGCTGCTCCTCCAACTAAAATCTACTGTGCCCGCATGAGACTACTCCAACACATCAAAAATATCTTACCTTAATTTCCTGACACACTGTGGTAGCCATGCAGAGGCACTTTCATGGGTCACTTCATTCCACATGCCATATTTGTCCTGTTCATGCTTCGGTAGTTTTGAAAGAGACTCTGGCAGAAATGCTGCCCTCACAAGGTTCGATAGAAGCTTTAGAATTTCCGAAACCATTTTCTGTGGAATTTACCACATAGAATAAAATTAGAATGAACACAAGACAGCATAGTAACATAGTCTGGTAAAATAATCTCCACCAGGTCTCAAACATCGGACATTTCGCTAAACACACTCGGTAAATATTATACCATTAGACCACAATAGATTGGTAGGAAATCCTTTTCATTTATTTTATTCTTCAAATCTTATCTTTACTACTACAGTAGTTGGAATAGCACAGACTCACATACTGAAAAGATGGATACAGATCTATAGGTACATACAGCTGTATTCTTTAAATAAATAACTATATAGCGATTGAGCAAACATTGATAGTAGAAAGTATAAAAGATAAGTAGTTAGTGGATAATATTACATAATGAATTGTAAAAAAAAGTATTGATCATGCAGTGAAAATTAAATTGAAGCACTTGAATGCTTATCTTCCAGTACCATGGTGCTGGGTTCAAATCCTGCATGTGACTAAATATAAATCTCCTCACTAAGCCATAAGGTTTGTATAACATCATTTACATTTACATTCTAAATTAGCAAGTCAATTGCTGTTAAATAAGATGATGATACAAAGTCAATATAGTGCGAGACTTAATGTTAGTTGCAATTATCAATAAAAGTAAAGCAAAAAACAAAACATTTTTAGAATGTTATGAAATGATGATGAGATGGACTGGACACTTAACCAGAATTAATGACAATAGATGACCAAGAGACTCAGTGTGGCAACAAAAGAAAGGCAACATGGAATACGGCAACTGACATAAGGAAACAGGAACTGCCTGAGGGCGGCTTTATCATCCAACGATGGATGAACATAGCCTCATGATGATATGATAATGATGATGATAATGGTGATGATGATGATGATGATGACAAAATGTGATGATGAATAAGTAATCAACAGTAGAAATATTAATGTTAATATGGTGCAAAGTAAATGATGGTAAAAAAACATTATAAAATGAAAAATAAATATTGAGAAAAGTATTAACTGAGAAAATAATAATTATGATATAATAATATTAATAATAATAATAATAATAATAATATTAATAATAATATTAATAATAATATTATGATATAATAATTATGATATTTAAAAGTTAATAACAGTGATGATATTAACCGGTTAATATATTAATTTTCTTTGAATAAGCAGATGTAAATGTGAAAAAAAGTTAATTGGCATAAATAACAATTAGTTTCTGTATTAAAAAAATTAGGCGTATTAATGCAGTTATAGTGTTTCATCCTAAAGTGACTTATTTTATTACAATACTAATAACAAAATAGACCACATTGATAACAATTTGATTATATATTGATATCCCATAATGTTGATTAACAGTAGCTCTTTCACAAGTTGATGTCATAATTACTGTCGGGCCATATTAATCCTTCAACAACAAAAATCCAGTGATCTCTACTGTGATCGGCCGTATTGTAGCTAACTACCTCATTTACGAGATGCATTAGCCGACAGGGAAAATGTTCTTTACGTCATTATGACTAATAATATACTGTTGAGAGAGCCACCTACAATTTAACATGCAATATTCCCACCACCAATGGTGTATATTTTATTTACTGTTGTTTAGTGCAGATCGCTTGTTGCCATACCAACTTACATCAAATGTATTCAACTGTTCACTTAGACCCTGGTCAACTGACATTTCCTATTAGTTGACGTCAAGTAAAATATCGATAGAAAGAACCAAATAAGAAATCAACAGAAAGAACATAAACATAACAAAAACAATGTTAAAATATGAATAAAATCAAACTTAAAATCAAACTTCAAATCAAAAATAATTTAAAAAATTTAGATTGAGTTTTTTTGAATTCAAGATATTTTATGTTCTGCACCTTGTCTTTGAAATGCTATTGAATGTATCAGATGTTTCAATTAGTTTTCATTTTCAAAATGAAAATGATATCCTTATTATTCAAGCAAAATTGTTTCACAATGCTATTTACGTTACTAGGTACTTGGTTGATAAAGGTAAATAATTAGTGGCTTATGATTTTCTTTCTCTTTGTGTGTAAAATGTTATATATTGAAAACATAACAAAACAAAACAATACTAGATAGTTAACTAAAAATCACATGTTCCATATATGAACCTGTGTTCCATATATGAACCTGTATTCCATATATGAACCTGTGTTCCATATATGAACCTTACCTTGAAAACTGGTGCTTTGTCTGTATCTATTTTCATTGGTTTGCCACTTGTCTGAAAAAAATAATTGAAGGAACTTAAGAAAAAATATAATAAAACCTAAATCAAGATGAGGTTAATGCATACATTAAAAAAGATGGCATCACAGAATAATAGAGAAATGATTCTCAGACTTCGACGAAAGACAGAAAATTAAATAGATGATGAAAACCGGTGTTTGTTGATACATACGTTTGTGTACTTTATAAAATGACACCACAAACCAAATTGCCAAAAACTGAATAATGATTATATAATTTTCAATTCCCATATTTTAATGTTTTGTCTGTATTGTTCTATGAACTTGACTTTGAAATATAACTTTATGTATTACCTCAATGATGATATTTCCATTGAAGTATGCTTGGCCAAGTTTACAGAAATCTGGAAAAGTCTCCTGTAGGATTTCCAACAGTTCTTCAAGGAAGAGAACTTTCCTTGGAAGAGAAAACTTACCATCTAAAAATACAACATAAATTAAAAAACAATTAAATAATCATTATGTATTTATTTTAACCTGTATTTTATAAAGTACATATATTTTTTTCTATTTTTTTTAAATTTCATATCAAACCACAAGTAGAGGATGGAACTATTATGTTGCATTGTGGGATTTGTCCACACAATCATGTTTTCTTTTTCCCTTATATGGACATAATGATGTCATGTCATTTGTATCCATTGTATTGTACTTTGTTGATTTTTTTTTTGTTTTTTTTTTTGGTGAATGTAGGTTACTTTTATTAATTGTATATTGTGATACATTTTTGTATTTAACTGAACCACTTTGGAAACCAGTACATTGTATTGAAAGAGTAATTCAGAATAAAAAAAGAAATAAAATAAAGTAAAATATAAAATGAGATGATCTCCCTGATGATCTCAAAAACTCTTTTCTTGTTGACTCTTTCCACATATTTCTGATTAAACTTAAACATTTTATCCTTCAGAATAATTCACCCATTATAGTTTTGTTTTCCATAAAATATTATGTTAAAATATCTTAATTTTTTTATTATATTTAATTAATTCATATACATTTTTTAAAAATTTAAATTATTTAATGTTAAAATTGTTTTCTTTTTTTTTGTAAGTTTCTGATCAATGATTACATATTTTGCTATATACAGTATTTATTTTTGTATTTCACTTAGATAATTGCTTCCTGTATTTTGTTAACTTTGTTTCATTATATTATAATTGAACTATATTATTTAAAATAATGTATTTATGTTAAACTGGATGAGTGAGTCTCACAGATTTGGTGTGCAGGGACACACATCACATATAATATAATGTATTATTATCACGCAACAAACAAATCCTGTGTTTCCTTAGCATTAAAATGAACATGACATACATTCCTTATAGAGTACTACATCACTAATGACACATCACCGTTTAAAAAACCCAAGCTGTCTTTATGGCTGAATGCCTCTGCAGCTAAGCCACAGTGTCAATAGAGTTTCACCTGCATATCGTTATGACTTAATTTAATGAAATCATATCAACGCATGAAATGTTGTTCATAGCTACGTAGTACCCTATACACTCACAAACACTTTAGAGACAATGAATTTGTATAACAACGTGATCATGCTCATTCACTTTGAGCAGTTGACAACATTACCATGGTTACGTCAACGCACCTGATACATCACATTCAGCAGGTGTGGACCCAGCTCCTGTACAACATCAGCATAAAGCAAAACAAAAAACAATGCAGAAAATAAAGAAACCAAATGTTATAAAAACAAAAAAAGACATTGAGTCAAGCAAGAAGTACAGCAAACATTATATATATAAACACTACGTATGTATATATATAGATATACTATATATATGCATATAAATATGTTATAATTCATAAGTAATTAAAAAAATCATATATATGATGGATAATAATCATAATGCAATATATGGAATTAGGAATGGTTATCAAATAATAAAAAAACATGCATAATTAATAATTAAAATAAATATAAGAAATGACAGTCAAAATATGGTATAAACACAACATCCTGTAAGACACCTGTAAAATTAATTTCCATAAATTTACCACTAAAAAATTGTACAAATGGAAATATCTTTAAATTAAAAAAAATTTCCCTAAATATGCTCTACACCAAAAACAGGAAATAAATTTTGATTGCAAGATGGAAATGATTTCACCTCACAATTGTGAACGAAACAGTTTGGATACAGAGGGCGGCATAACATACCTGGGCGCTGTCGGCTGTCGTTGACAATTCGTATCATCTGAGTGTTGGTCTGCTCGGCTGTTATGCTACATTCACCTTATTATCACATGAAATTTACAGTGGAAATTTTAAAAATATATTGTGTAAAATACTTTGAGGAATACATACAGTATTGTTCTTCCAACCAGAGTTTAGATGCAGTTTCCTAAAAATTGACCTATGATGCCATGATGATATAAAAAGTTGAACTTTTCCTGTTACGGACACATTAATTTTGTAAGTCCAGGCCGGAATGTACTTTATAAACTAAGTCCTTCTTAGGGGAATGGAGCTGTTTTTGGGCTGTAAGAAGAAATCCCGCAGTGACAGGGCTTGAACCCAGGACCTAGGGATTGGAAAGCAAGCATCTTAACTACCAAACTACAGCTCTACAATACTGTATATATGCAGATATATATGATATTTTCAATCCAACAAAAATTTCTGAACTTTTAAAGTAAAATTTGTCCGCAGTAGATAATGATGCAATAAGTTCAGTAAGTTGTGCTTAAATGTTGCAAATATATTTTACTTTTGAAATTACAGTTAATTATAAGTATGAGTACATTGTACCCAGCAAAACACTAGTAGTGCAAAGCAGTTAAAAAAATCAAAATAAAATGTGTCTGTCCCAACAAAAATTATATTGTGAAAAAGTACTGTGTATCACATCATTCCATTTTCATAAATAGTGGTGGAATCTAGTATAATTTTTTTGAGTGCATTTTCCCATTAAAATTTTGATGCTGTGCAGAAAATAACCAAAACTTTGAGAAAACAGGATTCTACGCAATTCACCATTCAAATAACCAAAATATCTTCCATAGTATCATAAATTGTTACACAGTATTTTGAAAGAAAATTTTGTCAAATATAAACAATACTTTTCACCCTTCAGTTTTATTATCACCATTAATAAATATAAAATAATGATATTTATTCATCTGTTCTGTGAACAATTAGATACATAACTGTATGTTGTCCTCTTACCCATTTGTAGGTGGTTATCTTTGCAGGTGTGAAGTAGGCTCATTAGCCAGATCTGCTGGTTGCTGATGCAGTCCCATGCAGGATCCCCAGGGGCCTCTAATTCTACCAGGTGCCTGATATAAATGAACAGTATGTTAGAGTCAAATACATAAATCATTAAATTATCAAGCATCAAATTAATTAATCAATCAAACAATCGTAATAAATCGCAATTCCTAGAACCTACTACCATCACTAAACCGAATGCCATCACCAACTTGATACCCAACCATCATCAACCACACCCAAGTTGTGTAAACTTATACAATATTATGCAAACTGTTTTAAGTCTCACTTTATTAACTTCTTTTGTTCGTCCATCGTTGATGGCAGTTCCATTAACCTCTTCCTCAGTTGCTCTCTGAATTGTACAATCTTATTCTCAACTTCCTCATAAACTGTAATAAAATAAAAACATTTAAATATAACTCAATAAAAACATTTCCATATACTTTTTAGCAATTTGGATTGGAGTAGGCGAATTGGGCAGTACACTGACACACAATCCACTAGTCTTTTCCAAAACTGTGTTCTTTAACATGCCATAGGCCATATTGCACACAGCTTAAATGTCTCAACCAAAAGATGGTGTATACAGGGTATACTTGAAAATGGTAATGTCATCTGTAATGTAAGTAATAAATTAGGTTTAATATTTTCTAGTACTAGCATTATTGACAGCTCCCGAAACTGGTCTCTCCTATTGTTTAAAGAAGCGTTCGCTATACATAGACTACACCCTTTGCTTAACAATGGGCTCAGAGCTTCAAAGACAGCTTCAAAGTCGACTGAATCTGAATAAAAATACAATAGGCTTATTAATAATGATAACGATATTTCAAAAATCAAATTCAGATAAAAGAAAAGTCTTGGCCTAATATATAAACATTTTCATATATAGCACTGTTTCTACTATTAAAAGTTTCTTATTTAAGTTATATAAAAAAATGTGTCTTGCGGGAAACTGAACTGAAACCACTCGCTATCAAGGCGAGTTTCATACCATTGGACCATGGTATACGCACAGTTCAAACCCCCAGACACTTTCTGTCATACAACTGACTCGAACCCACACACACACACACACACACACACCCACAGACACACACACACACACATCCTACTCTTTTCCAAAACTGTGTTCTTTAACATGCACATAGGCCATATTGCACACAGGTTAAATGTCTCAACCAAAAGATGGTGTGCAATGAGAAGTTAGACTTCTACCCTCTAGCTTAATTACAAAGGGAGTAGTAAGTAAATTTAAACCAAGGGTCAAATATCTCCACAGTTCAGCTCGTGCACACACAGTAACTACCACCAGCCTAGCTGACTAAGCTGACTCTCATTTTCTAAGTAGTAAACAGTATATGATAGAAGGAATTTAAAAGTAAAATGTTTATCAATGAATGAATTCATTACTTACTTTGTTTAAACACTGTTACAGTAGTAGTTGCAAACAGAGATTTGGCTTTTGCATAATCATTGATCACAACTTCATATTCACCCTGAAAAGATGTATTAAAATTTATCATCACTAAGAAAAGTTTTTGCTACAAATTGCTGGAAATTTTAAAGTTCAATGAATAAGGCTGTGCACACTCAGTTTCATTGTTAAATTAACATTTGTCTTTGCTTTAATTTTTTATAATAGTTCCTAGAGGTTATTTGGTAACAACACATTTTTGTGTAATATTACATTTACAATAACCTAATTAACAATGAATTAACTATAATATTAAATAATCAAATTGATATTAAATTAGCTACTTACACTCTGAATATTCCTTTCAATGTTGATTGGCAGATGGAAAAGAAATTTGAAACGATTGAGGACGTTGAGGGCATTTCTTGTTGAATCTGCCAAAGCCTTGTTTCGTAGAATCTTGCGGAAAATCTTCTGAGCACTTTCATCACATTCTATTAAATTTATATAATATATTATATATTTTATATATCTATAAAATATTACATTAGGACAACAATGACTGAAAATAAAATGACCGAAGTTCTGAGCTCACGAGCCACAGTACCCATCTCTCTTTTCTTGGCATTTAGGCCAGACTCTGCAATGCGGTTAAGCCTCTTTCCCACTTGCGAATTTATTAGTGCGAGTCGAAAGGGTTGGTTCACATTTCTATCATAGTTTTCGCTTTAGCGAAATTGGTTGTTCAAGTTGTTTCTACTTTTTTCGAAGTGAAAAAGTACGCAACCAATCAAAGCTCAAGAACTGAACCAACGCCTTTGATTCGCGCAAAAAAATTTGCCTAGTGGAGTACAGGCTTTAGGTGATCGCCACTTCTCATGCACAACAAGTCTGTTTGGCTGCCCAGCACAGCATATGTCAGTACCAATTTATACTCCTGGGTAGACAGAGGCAAACATATATTAAATGTCTTACCCAAGGACACAAGCAACTTGCACAACCTCAAAACCAGCGAGTGTTAGCTCCAACCATAGTGCCAACTGCTTCCACCGTATTTTAAAATCTAAATATATTAATATTATTCAATAATTAATTTCCTTCTATGCATCAACTCACCTACAAGAAGACTTTCAAGGAGAGCAGCTGGTGCTTTTGTGTCAGGGTCTTCAGTTACTTCATCCTCCATTAAGCTTGAATGAATCGCTAATCCACAACAAAGACAAACACATATGAGTTGAGTGGCCGAGCAGTAAGACAGGGGCGCCGCTAGTTACAGCCTTAACATTGGCGCTAGTTCGCCCATGGTTCAGTTGGTAGAACCAAGTCTTCTCAGATAAGGACATAAAATGGAGGTCCAGTGTATACATCTGGCTTGTGTGCACTTTTAAAGAACCCATTGCATCTTTCGGAAGAGTAGGGGTTTACCCCGATGTTATGGTTCACTTCAGCCCCTGTCGTTGTGGGATGATGTGAACATGTATCTACCAAGAAGCGCCTCTTTACGGCAGCTAGGTAGTCACGGACCACGCCCATATGCAATTCAGCAAAATGACGCTGCAAGTTATGGGTTATTCTCCTACCTTTACCTTTACACATACATTTTGTTTGTATTTAAAATAAATGCCATGATATAGTATCCAGGTATTACAGTTCCAATCTTAACAATAGGTAACTTTCAATTGCATGACAACATAGTGACCTCACATTATACGCATGCAACAAGGTTGGCTTCTTTTTTTCTTTTTAATTTAACAATTGTGAAAAATTGAGTGATAATGTAAAGGATGTTACTTACTAGTCAAAATATCCTGACAATTCATAAATGTGCCTAAGTTGGTTTTAATGAAGCTCTGTGGACCCTCTGTCTTTTGATTGGCTGATTGCTTCCTCAAATGAACCAATCCAGCCTTCAGATCATCAAAGCTGCAATGTAACAAAATAGATTGCTAACAGAATGTATAGAATATATTATATATATATATATATATACATAAATCATCAAAGAAAGGTAAATACAGTGTTCGAATAAAGGACATAATAACACATCGTGTAGCATAGCTCTCAACGAATGTAGTCCTGTAAATAAATGAATAAAGAAATTGTGTAATAAAATGCCTCTGACAG